GTGATCCTTATACAATGAAAACAGATTCGTATCCGTCAATTCTCATAAAATTAGATGTCGTGCTGACAGACCCTCTCACTCTGCGTGCAACAATACGTCTTCTGAACAGCAGTCGAGTTATAACATTCGAAGGTGTCATGTTTCCATCGGGCTTTAGCGATGATCACGCTTTAGTTGCCTGTCGATCAATGGGTTGTAGTAAAGTGAGTGCAAATGCTCTAGTATCTTGGACTCAAACACAGACGTGTCGATTTACCTGTCCAGATGGTACAAGTGGATTGCAACTGTGTCGTTATATGCAATCGTATTTGAGATGTCCTTCGAATCCAAATGATGCTATGAGTTTAAAAGAATGCGTTGCAAAGCCATTTTGGGCTGATTATAGCGACTCTTCTTCGCGGTACGGTGCTATTGGTCTTGTCTGTACCGAATGTGGTGACTTGTGAATTCCTGAAGCTCTTATCTTCAAAGACATTTTTTCTGTAATTTATGTTTTTTCTCTTTTTTTTGCTGATTCAAATTTCGGTTACACGCTTTTTCTGTTTTGGAGTGCCTAATAAACTCTTTTAGAAATTACATCTCTTTTATGAATCTGCTGTAGATGTTGCAGAGAACAGCGATATAGTAGAATGCAGAAGTCTTTGGCCCCAATATTGCTAATATGAATAAGACGAGTGAAGAAACCAATAGATACACATATAGGGAATAGTGCAAGCCAACGGGAAAAAAGCTGAAGTTTTGATTGCTTTGATTTACTTTGATTACCGATGATTACCAATAATTATCAATGATTGCCAATGATTGCCAATGATTATTCACATTCTTTTATATAGAGAAACTACTATAGTTCGATGAATTAAAAGTCCGAGTTGAGGGTATGTTTACATCAAGTTTTATTCTAATACTATGAGAAGGAATTATAATGTGCTATTACATAGGAGCACACATCATGGATTGGACTATCTAATAACATGCACCAATTCAATATAGAACAAATTTATTTAAAGAACTAAGCAGAAAAAAAAGAAAGGTAGTATAGGCACCGCCAGAGTGAAATTTATGCTACATAAAACAGTTAATACAATATGCATAAATGTAATTAATGAAAACTGATTGTGTGTTAATAGAGTAGAGTAGATCTTGTTGTATTACGATCCACACTCATCTTCCGTTTTCTCTTGTTCTTCATATTTATCCTCTATTTCACCCATAAAAACATCCAGTTCATTCACCTGATCATCCTTAATAAAAAGATTATCTATTACTACAGTAGAAGATTTTACTATTAATTCATCTATTGTACCATCGAGCTGAACGTCTTCATTAACGTATCTGTTAATAACACCATGTACATGTTCAATAACCTTTAAAGTTAAGTCTGATGTAGTAGCAATATATTTATCACTATCATCATAAAAACCCTGTATTGTATGGTATCTTTATTTTGATTGTCATAATTCAAGAGACAAAGCATAATATAAAAAGTTATCCCGAAATATGTTAGTATATAGTCTTGTGTATACGTACCATATTTGAAATCTATTAAACAAGGTTTAGTGTACAAATGAAAATCAAACTTATAATAGCATATGAAAAATTGATATACGTGAGATTATTTAGGGAATGTGTACAAATAGAAAAAGATAAAAATCCACGATATACACTATAGATAGAGAACTAGTAGAGGATGATAATGGTAGATGTATGATCGATGCATATCAGTCTATAGTACATGAAAAGCAACACAAGACATTATTATGAAATGAATATGAATATTACAAAAAAAATCAAAATTTTACTCGGACTTTTAATTCATCAGACTATAGTTCGATCTGTCTTTGACCAATACAAAATTTCTGTCTCTAAGCAATACAAAATACCGTGACTTTCCACGTACATCTCAATATAAAACCTGAATATACAAATGTCAAAAAACCGAAGTAAATTGGTGTCATATAGATAGCGATAGTAAAGTAAAAGCAGATTAAAATTTCTGGTGACCACTAGAATTACCTTCTAAAAGTTTATGTAACATGTCGAAAAGAAAAATGAGATTCAAATATGACCCATTTGAACGGAAGTATATTTTATTTATTAGTCACAACAAGCTTTAAACGATCTGAAGACAAGTTAGACTTGTCATTTGAAAGAAGCTAAGCGACTGTCTGTTTATGTAAATATATTTTTGTACCATTTATGTTTACGATAAAGTACGACTTACAAGAGAATCTTCCTAGGTGCCAGAGCGCTTTTCAGTCGGAGTTTTGTGCATCTTATAGCCCATAGTAATCAATATCTATGGTAAAAAAATTTCGGGCTTCTGGCTTGACTCTGCTGGGATATCGAGCTTCTAGTGAATTTTCTCTATGGTTCGCCTACATTAGCACCAAAGCTATACTTTCGAATTTTGATCTGAAACACTGCCTGCATAAAGGTCTCAGCTGGACTAGTTTGCATAAAAAATTTCAAAAGTTTTGAATAAAGTCTCTCTAAGATACGAAGCTTTGAAAAAAATGCATACTATGTGTATTATTTATGAAAAAGGCGCTATACCTTGATAGTTTCATATCTCAGAAAAACTTTACTTAAAACTTTTGAAATTTTTTATGCAAACTAGTCTAGCTGAGGCCTTTATGCAGATGAAGTTTCAGGTCAAAATTAGAAAGTATAGCTTTGCTGCTAATGTAGGCGTACTATAGAGAAAATTCACTAGAAGCTCGATATCTCAGCAGAAACAAGCCAGAAGCCTGAACTTTTTTTTACCATAGATATAACTCACTATGGGCCACAAGATGCGCAAAACCCTGACTGAAAAGCGCTCTGGCATCTGGGAAGGTTCCCTTGTTAGATTACATGTTGATTATCTATGTTCATCACCAGTGCCTGGATGTATAGAATATATGACGATATATTATTATAGAGATATGATCCTTCCTGTATTGATAACTAATATGTAACCACATGACAATTAGTGTCACTGTTTTGAATAAAAATCGCTTTATTCTGAATGATTGCCACCCTAGTCGAGATTCCCTAGAAGAATCCCGGGGAAATTCCTTTCGTGAGTTCCTGGCGAAGTTAAGAGGGAATTCAGAGATTCTGCAGGGAATTGATGAGTATTATCAGGGTCTCTTCAGAAGCCACCGTTGGAATTCTCTGAAAAATTCAAATTTATGAAAATTTTAGAGGGACTCCCCTGAGAGTTTTAGGGGGGTCGTGAGATATACAACTCCCGCGAGAACTCATGACAGGGATTCTCCAGGGATATCGCATTTTTCAGGGGACTCCCCAATGATTTCGTTGGGGAGAGTCGACTATGGTATTGATTATGTCACAGTTGACATGGGAATTCAGTTGAGTTTGGAATGCATGTTAATCATATGAGTCACACGATAATTAATGTTCGTTTACTATTGTATTCAACTTTTGTAATTTTAGCGATTCTAAATGATTGGTCGAACTTCTATGATTTATTTTGAATTATTTTAAAATATTTACATATAGGAAATTTTCATTTTTAACTATTCTTATTTAGTGAGTATTAGAATTTTATGAATTTTATTCATCTCCTTATAATTAATAGATTGATGTTCGTTGCCATGGAACATTCAATCAAGAAACACATTCTATGTCTGTTTGTTTTTAATTACATAAATTTTTTTTTCATGTGAATATCTCTTACAAAAAATGGGCATTCTTAATTCTCAACTACAATCGTACATTGATAAACTTTCTCATAATAAGTCTATCGAATAGACAATCAACAATCCGTTTATAGTTCAATTATTAATCAATCAATTCAACATCAGATCGGCTGCTATTCTAAGTAGCATGAATCATTCAATTTCAATTTTTTAACAACGAATTTGCTAACACTAAACATTTAACCAATCATTTAATCCCCCCATATCACGAGCATCGAAAAAAAACTATTTTATAACAACAAATAGCTCAAATACTCTCGATTTCATTTCAACCAATGATTCAATGTCCCCATGTCCCGCTGCTCGAAAAAAAAATCTATTCTATAGAAACAAATTACTCAAATATCCCCGATTTTGTTTCAACCAATGATTTAATATCCCCATGTCCCGCTGCTCGAAAAACA